AAAGCTCGGTACTCCAAGTAGCCAATGGGATACTTTCACCTATATACTAAGTACTACCTCGGTGTAGAAGATAAAATATGGTATGGATACGCCTAATGGCTTACTGATATCTATGAAAATGCTGGCATTGTATGTGACGATCTAAACTTAAATTGATTTACCATCTGGCAGTCTAGTAAAAGCATTGCTTCTAATATTTATTTTTTTTTGTTAATAACTGGAATACCAGACTAAAATCTGAACGCATTACAGAAAATGGCCATGAGATTTAATGGTCTTAGACACGTCGTCTCGCTGATTATATTTGCCGGTAAGTTAAAAATAAAAAGGGCCATCGAAATCGGCAGGTTAGGCAATAAGTTAAATCAAAACAACGTATTCATGGTGGGTGGATCTAATGCGAAATAGAACGTTGGGTCTAGCCATCAAAAAGAAAGTAGCTAAAATGATATTTTTGGCCACGGTTTTAATCATTTAAGACTGGTACTGAATTTCAGTATACGTATGCAATTGGGAATGCGCATGCATAAATAAAATATCAATAAGCAGATATTTACCCAAGCATCAACTAACAACGTCATTTTGTAACTTCTGAGAGTAATATTTTGTGTTTGGCTTTCTGAATTCGCGTTAAGCTTGTAGTCCTTATGAGAGTGTATCCTCGTTTTGATGAATGACTTCAAGCACATGCCTTTGTTTTGACATGTAATTGTGAAACTGAACTAAGGCTAATCTGCATCAGGAAAACGATGTGGGATTCAGAGTGGGCGTCATCAAACGATCCCAAAACAAGCAAAAGTGACGAAATTGTTTAAACGCAAAAGTCTTTCAACACAATTGATGAATGATCATAAAGAAAATCTACAACAAAATTGTGCTTGATTATTTAACAAGGAAAACCACGACATAATGGAATCTTTCGTAGCGCACATGGATTGAGTGACCCATTAGGATAGTAAATAACATGTCGCACATCACCCTACTTTAAAACGAGTCAAGACGTAAGCTCCTGCGAATAAGGAAACTCAGTGTTCAAAAGCCTTTAGAGAATAATATAGTACAAGAGCCAAAACGCAGGATAAAATAAGCGAAAGCTGTTAGCTGGCATATCACCATTTCCTAAATAAATGCTTGAGCTAAAACTTTAAGATGCTTTTCATTACCTGGATCCGAAGTAAGCAAGTGCTTTTAGCAAACTTTCCCGTAAATCAAAGGACTTTAAATTAAAAAATCGTAAAAAATTAAATTAGCCTGAGTAGGTCAAATTAATATTAGTGGGTCCCTTCACAAACCCTAATAAAGGAGTCCATTTTTGGAGGTCTTTCTTTATGCCAAAACTTTAGATAACACCAAGGCCTTTCTACATGGTTCCTAGAGAAGCACTGGAGGAACCGCAGTTGAGAGAAGCCTAAGCCGATGTATGCATAAGTTGGCTTTAAAGCCATTCTTTCAAGTATATGTGATATGGATTAAAATAGCCACTTACTCTGGATGTCAACGGAGCGGATTCTACAATTACGTCAAAAAGTCCAGCTAAGATGGTGACTTGGCCTCCCTTATTAATTTTTACAAGAAATTTTGACTTGCTTCAATGAACAACATCTACTTGACCAACCGTAATCTATGTTGATAGGAAAATATTCAATCGCTTGGTGCTGCATATGTTAACAAGTCAAAGAAGAGAATTTACTTCTTGATCAATCCAAAATGAGTCTATTCCTGCATGGACTGTTGTTCTGGTCTGACCCAGACCCCATCAGCTTCCCTAAAGTTATTCATTACCTGTTTGAAGCATTATGCAACAAATGCAGTCCTATACCGAAAATCCCATTGCGGATATATCCAACCAACCTGGCGGTGGGGTCAAAGTCCATATTATGCTATACCCTAATACAGAGGTCATAAAGTTTACAAAGAAAAATGTCACAGTTGTTGGACTTGTTTGTGGACTTTTAGTGATTTACTCAATTTTTCATACGACAGTCAATTATTGAGGCCATCTTAGAAATACTACTTTATTTCTTATATACAAACAAGAACATAAACACCAAAGGAGACTACGACAACAAGCACACTTATGAAAAACTCTGCTTATTCGAAACGCATGGGGATGATCATCATCAAATCACCCTAAATATATTGCCACAAACTTCTACGATATAAGAAGAGAAATTATGCTATTTCATCTGACTAAGCTTTTGACGCTGGCGAGTTGAAATTTTATTTAGGCTATAATTCATAATTAATTAACTTTTCTATGGTTAAAGATACTTTTTGCTTGCTATTCTAAGTCCAAATGGTTGAAGATGGCGCATGCCTTACACATATCGTCAAGTGTTAAACAGTTTATTAGTCTTTTAGTTAAGGTCTACAGAATGAAAACTGCACAAGCATGATTATCTGGCAATCTAATGGCAGTGTTCGTATAATAATAGCCAACTAAGCAAACATATGGCAGAGAAAATTGTTAATAAAAGTAGAATAAAATAGCTACTAACTGTTACCAATAGTTGTAGGAAGAAACATAAACTAAATAAAGATGGGTTTAGTTCAGATTTTTTCCATAAAAGAGAGGGTTTTCGATTAAAGTGGGGAAATGTTAATATTGTATAAGTTTGGCTTTGGCCCTTTTAGTAAATTTAGCAGATAGTATTAAAGGAAGGGAGTATCATATGGCAATTAATTTGGTTGCTTCCTCCTTTTATGCAAATAACAAAAATACGGCAATAGGGATAAGATTAAAATCCAGGTGACTATAGAAGTTGTTTGACCTTGTTTTCTCAACTTGGTCATATTGTCAGGAAGACTTAGAGAAACGCACCTTGTCCGGAGTCCATTGTATGCATAATAATTTCCAAAGTCGGGCCGTGGACGTGGTACATTCCCAGACGTTTCGCCGGCATCGTAAGTGAGTCTCGCCATTTGTAGCACCATATAACAACTCGTCTTGTCTCTTTGACAAGTTGTAATATGGTGCTACGAATGGTGAACTCCCCGACGATGCCAACAACGATGCCGGCGAAACGTCTGGGAATGTACTACGTCCACGGTCCAACTCTGGAAATGATGATGCATACAATCGACTCCGGACTAGGTGCGTTCCAATAAGTCTTCCTACTAACATGACCCAGTTGCGAAAACAAGCTCAAACAACTTATATACAACGAACGGAGACTGCGACCACACATAGGGCCACGCCATATTGGTCTTCATACCAGGTAACTATAGTTTGGAGTCACCAAACAACGAAATTGTGCAATGCCACAGGGAGTCCGCTGTATTTTACCCATTCGAATTGCCGTATTTTTTATAATTATCCAATGTTTTATGCAAATAGTAACATATAAAATGTATAATCTTTTGCTGTAATGAAGCATTCAACAATTTATAATGCGAGGCAAGACAGGACTTACCTTAACCAATTCTAGCACGAGCCAGATTTGTGCTAAAGTTTCAAACTCCTCCTTTATCCGTATGATATTTGGATGATTGCACCTCCGCATTATCGAGATCTCGTTCTCCAGCATCGACTCTTTTCCTTTCAGTCGGGCCTTCTCGATTACCTTGATGGCATATGCATGCCCCGAGTCTCTTCGGTGACAAAGGCGGACCACAGCAAAGTTCCCGTCTCCCAAAAACTTGCCGACCTCGTAGAGTTCGTGAATCGTGTGAGAATCTGCAGTCGGAAAAGAGCCTCTTTAAACGGCACTGATTCCATTTTAAACTGAGTTGTATTATTTTTTGCTTGAATAGCTAAATCGGCGCATACGCAACTATTATAAGCCGATTAATATGAGCCAAGTTGTCGAGAGGCTGATACAAAGGGGAAAAATCATGCGAAATAGCTATTCATGTTACACATCATACCAGAGGCATTGCAAGGGCAGCGAATGAAAGCGAATTACTTGATGAGCTAACTTCAAGAGTATGTAAACGATTTATAAAGTAGACCATTGAGTTTGCTGGCCTAAAATTTAGCCGTAAAAGGTCGCTGATTTATCGTGGCGTGAAAAGAAGCTGGATTCACTAGAATCCCATAAAATATTCACATAGTTGTATCTTTTATTTCGTTCGAAAATGCGGTGGGAGGAGTCTCGTAAATAAGCCGAATCAGAAACCAAGGAAAGATTGCCTTGGAGTTGCAACTGTGGATTTGAGAAGAGAAGTCCTCGTCGCACCTACAAACGACATTGACTTATCCTCTGTTCTGCCATGAAAGGCATCGGGCCTACAAAACTTTATGAAACAAATACAAAGTCCTGACTACAAGGCAATCTTTCCTTGGTTTCTGATTCGGCTAAAACTTTTGTGGCGAGGAGAAAATTGCTTTAAGGGTAGCAGACTGCTTTTCGGCATATGTAAAGGGGTCGGAAATTATGATCGTGCTCTTCAAGAAGTCTTCTTCAGTGGTATTTAACACTCTAAATTGGGTGGTACATCCAAATGGCTTGTACACCAGACTATTTTTCAGTTAAGCAGAAAGCGATGTCGCTAAGGCGCGGTTAAACTTAAGATACTGATTAAGCAGCTCAATCCTATCCTTACGGAGTCAAGGCTCCAGGTTTAATGAATGCATGATGCTCGGCTTAGAAACCAGCTTCCAGCTCAAGATGGCTTTGGCGGTGCTGGCCTGACTGGCTCCGAGACATAGTGGTTCATGGACCATAAAAACTGTTTTCAGTTTAGGGGGAAATGTACTCCCTTAATTAGATTCAACCACAACATGATTGTGTAGGTATGTGGTGGTTTGCATGTTGGTAAGCCCTGCAGTACTATTCGCCAGAAGGTAAGTAAACATAAAATTGATTAAAACAATCAGAATTGGATGAGCACATGGTAGGGATCGAACACAAGGGAGAGGAGTGGTCTCAGAAGCATCAGTATGTAGATGCTTATTTTAAGCAATGGAGGCTGTC